AGTTTAATAAAAAATCGTGGAACGTATATAAATACAAACAAATTTTGTCATGGGCATTAGATTCTACATATGAAACTTTTTTTAAGTGCTTTCGTAATAATAGCATTGCGCATTGTCTGTCTACATTAGAAATTTCATTGAATACCTTCATAAATAAAACGTACAGCATGCGTAACGGTTAGCATTGTACATGCGTTAATCCAAATTTTTGACACTGCGCATGCGCAAAACCAAAAAATATCGGTATGCGCAGAATCCTTGGACCAAGCCCTTTGAGATGAGCCACATATCGCCTAAATCGGTTCAGTGGTATAGAAAGAGTACGTGTGACGGACAGACGGACGGACGATAAAGTGCAGCGTGCAACCAATAGCTCACTTTGAGGAAAATACGCTAACAATAAATATCCTGACAAGACTATTGGTAACGCCTTCATTTCAGTAGCTGTGTTTAATTTTAGTCACTATACATATCCGGGTGCGTGAAGTTAGCACGGTAATGGAAGCACAAACAAAATGTTTTGTGCCAATCGTTTGTGCTTGATTGTGCACGATAAAGTAAACCAGCACGTCGACCCCTTTTTGAGGTACACGGTACCAAATGGCAAATAGTACCTTGCAGCATGAGTTGGAAGATGCGCGAAAGGACTGCTGTGTAATGCTGTCGAGGAACTTGAATCCAAAACGACTTTGCAATGGCACAAGGCCCATTGTGGAATTGCTAGAAGCCAAGATAATGAAATAGTAGTACTTATTATTCTAGGGAATGGGGGGGGGGGGGGGCCAACGGTATAGTTAAGTAAAAAAGAATTATAATTTGAGTAAAATTGCAAAACAAATCATTCTTTTTGTATGATATAGTAGGAAGTGTCTATTTTGACATATTCAAAATCCCCATTAATCCCGACCTCCAGGAAATCAGTTAAAACTTAAAATCCATGATGGCGGCTGAAATTCGAATTTTTCATTTAAAAATTTAAAGTCTTATATCAATGAAATTAAAAAAATTCAAAGAAAATGGCACGTATTGGTGGGTGCGGTTTGTAAACAGTGGGTTATTCGACCAGGTTTTTAAGTTGTAGTGCAAAATTGCACTGATCACATTTAAAATTCTTGAAGTAACGTGATAAAATATGACGTTTTAAACTATCCTTGCTCTTCAAGGTGTAATAATTACATTGATTGCAAATGAAATTTTTGCAAGTGAATTTACTTTTACAGCCGTAAAAACTACAATATTGATTACTTTTGGCCACTGTAAATAAACAAAATGGCGGTCTTAACCCACCAATAGTAATTACAATGTGCTGCCACCAGAAGTCTCATTGTTAATCTGAATCGCGAATTTAGTTTTGAAATATTTCAATGGCCACGATTTTGGGAAAAAATGTGCACTTAAAATTCACTGCCCCTTTTCTCGAACAAATGATTCTTTTTGCATTTTATTGTGACAAGTGTCCATTTTGACATATTCAACATCTCCGTTAATTCCGGGCTAGGAAATCAGTCAGAACCCAAGATGATGGTTGAATTTGGAATTTTTATTAAAAAATTCATAACTTTGTTATTTCAGTGAAATTTGGCAAAGCTGTACTACAAAGGCAAATTGCCTATTATACTCGCACATTAGAGAAAACTTTTTACACATTCCTGTACACCCTAGCACAAACGATTGGCACAAAACGTTTCGTTTGTGCTTCCATTACCGTGCTAACTTCACGCACCTCACATATCCCGCCTGTTTATGTCGACCTTGACGATTTTATGGTAAAACACTATCAAAGTAATTAATCTGCCCTGAATTGATTAATTTCAGCGATAGTAAGCAAACTGTTGAACTTGATCGCGTGACAATAACTCTTACTACACACAGGATCAAAGTGAAATTATCAAAGGAATTAGGAAGCTTTAAATCCGCGGTTAATTTTTTATACACAGCAAATCATATAATTTTACTTGAAGTACCGCATTCAGCAAGCAGATTATTTGTTCCATTGGTTATCTGTGTAAATCCGATCCATAGCGTAATGACAAGTTAATTTCATAAAGCGAGACCCAGCGTACCTAAGTCCTTCAGCAGTAACTAAAAAAGTAAAAAGCTTAAACTTTGTGTCTGTTTTGTGTTGATTTGTATGTCAATTTCCAAATTTCGGAGAAAATGAAATGCTCGTAAATGTTTTGTATTGCGACAATATTGTAGCCAGAGGAAGCGTTTAGAGTTTCAAGTAGTTTAAACAAAAAAATTTCCATTTATTTCTTGTGAAGTCCACCGCAGAGAGCACCGTATGTCGTAAGAGCCGACTAATCAACTGGAGGTCGTCCGCATTCCCGGATGAGTGAGAATACATGTGTCGAGTTAAATAGGTATGGAAAGCAAATGGTTTTTCTCAATGTTGATATAGTTTTCCCGATTGTGAGTTTTAGTTAATGATCCATAAATTCGCTGATGTAATTGCGGGTGGGAAAAATACGCACGAACGCTGTTACCAAAGAAAATGTGGCAATAAACAAAAACAATGTGTAATGGAAAAATGTACTAATTTGAAAGTTGCCGCGTAGAGTTTATTGGCAACCAAATAACACTTTATCACCCCTAAACGACAAACTTCGGAACATTTTGCAGTAAAATGTGTTCCTTCAGCACAAAGATAAGTTTGCAATGACCTTTTTAAATATGAAAAAGTTATCGATACGATCATCGAAAAGAAGCATCAACCCATTCTATCATTTTTCGTATAAAACATGGGGGTAAATGAGGCGATTGAACCTGAGCAACAAATTTTCCTTTTCCTGTAACTCTATTACGAGCGTTTGTATTCGCTTACGACGATAATGAAATTGCAGTCGTAAATGTAGTGACAGTAAAAATCATTGATCGAATATTCTTTTAATGTCTTATAAAATAGTTTACCTACTTTCTTAAAAGACGCAGTGAAAAGTGATTTGATTTTCTAGCGAGAGGTTTGAAAAGCAAAGGTGTATGTATATGCGCATCTGGACCATGCAAAGTTTAATCAACTTTATATGATTAGTTTTTCCAATATCTGAATTTATTATGGACCCTATCATAAAAATTTTACCCAACGCAAAGAAGTTTTCTAAGAGCCTAAAACCAGAAATCGCGTAGTACGTATGAAAAAATGACTGGTAGTTACTATAAGCTTGAACTAAAAAGAAAAAGAATGGGACAACCTCCCTTTTTCACATGTGTGTCTGAAAAGGACAGCCAAAAACTAAGATTGGTTAGTTGTAAAAGTTTTTATTTGACATGAGCGTGGAATCGGTAGAGGTTCTATGTACCACGTAGCTTGCGAGAAAATTAAAGGGGTATTGATAAATTCGTCGTCTGTGTTTATTTGACCGTGTCTCTAAGAGTACTTCAATCATGGCCCATTATAAGCAATGAAAATATTTGCCAAATTAACGTAACGGAATTATTGCCGACTTTCAATATGATATTAATTTCCTCATTTAAATTGCAGTGGACAATCATTGTACAGTTTCTTATTGGAGAGTAAACTCGTTACTATAGGTCTATAGGCTACATTAAACCTTATTCTTTTTTATTGTAAAAACATTGGTTGATTCTACACGAGGCAACGTTTCTCCCATTTTCATTTTTATTCCCCTATAATGTATAATATGTTGTGTTGATTTTCCATTTGTATGACGATTGTAAGCTGTTTCTGTACTGCCTGCACATGAATTAAATATTATTACTATTATTATTATTTATAGTTTTAGGAAATCACTTCTTTCGTGATGTTGGGCATCATAATGGATATTTTTGCACCTGCTCTTTTAAAAATCGGCCCCGTTTGACACATTCAGTAGCAATTTCTTAGTGAAGTGTAAATATCTAAATTGGGAAGAAAAGCCGCTGATCACGCTGACCAGAACATACTCGATACACCACCAAATTATACCACTTCATCGGTTACTTGTTATGAATTCTTCTCTGAAGTTTTAAACTCTATTTTTTCAAATTAGAGTAAAAAGAAACGGATTGATTGACAATACATACATTTTTTGACTTTCGGTTTGGCTGGAAACAACTTAAATTTTTTTAAAAAGAACATACTGTTTTTTTTATGATTGAATATGCAATAAAAAACACAAGTTCTATTTAAATCTTTAATTTTTATTTTTTTATTGCGTTTACGTGGGCCTTTTTTGTCAGTGTGTAACAAAACTGGATCACTAAAATAAGAACTTGTCTTGCAAAATTAACCTTAAAAGCCAGTTTTCATTTCAATAGAGAGACAAACTAGACTGAAGATACCAATGTGAATTAATATCTCTTTAGTTTGCCAGGAATATAATATGTAATGCAAAAAATCCGGTTTTACCAATTTTTGTAATTATACCTACAAGCTTGATTATACGTGTATAATCAATGCTACAAGGCACTGACCGAAGAAACGCCGAAGCAAAGACGCCATGCGGCCCACCAACTTTTGATCTCGGAATTCTGAGTTTAAGCTTAAACCCGGAATTATAAGTTCAAAGTCAAAATTCTGAGATTAAAGTTAGAATTCTGAATTTAAAGTCAGAATTCTGAGTTTAAAGTCAGATTTCTCCGTTTGAAGTCCGAATTTTTAGTCGTATTTTTTATATATATATGGCCCTTCTACGCCTTCGTACTTCCACGTCTTCGTAGCGCGATTCGAAATTTTAAAATCTAGAAAATGACATTTCTGTTGAGAAATTTCTGAATTTGTTTCTCAGATTATAATTCGTGTATTATGCTTTGAAATAGGTCTAGTTGTTATGAATTTGAAACGAAGAGCATTATGATCACTAATGAAACCAGAAAACAATCTATATGCAAACACAAATGCGCAATTGTGCTTCAACCTTGTAGCGATACATAATAATTAGAAGTGCACTGTAGTTACAGAGTTATATATGTATGAAGGGGGGTCTTGACAATGTACATTCTCAATTATCTTAATAGCTGTAAGATAATAGGGTCAGTATGTCATATAATGGCATATTCAGTTTGTGGTCGAGTTATGTAGTAGTTGCCAGATGTGATACGAATACGCGATGGAGATGGCTCGACAGATTTTTGTTTCGTAACGACCAGAACTTTGATAAATGGGCATAGCTCAACAATGGTCTCCAGAAAGAAGTTCCAATGTGCATTTCAAAGTAGAAACAACAGAGCGCATTACTTTCTTGTGGTTTGTTACGTTTATTTTATGGGATAAAGTGAGATTTACAAAATCGTTGCTAAATGACATAATAATGATTTTTAGTCGACACTGTCTTTCTTTCATTATTCTAAAGCACCCAGCACTCCCAGCAGTAAATGGCTATTAAAAGGGAGTAAGATCGGGAATTTTCCCGGAGAAGTATGGCATACAATCGTCACAGGTTGTTTGAGATTGACAAAATTTTATTACGCTTTTATTGCTGTGTTGCTTTGTATAAAGTTGAAATGCAAACGTATTCAATTCACATCCAACGAAGTAGTGCAATATGATAAAATGACACAGAGCAGAGAGGTCAACTTTTTCAAATATGCCTTTTGCAACGCCAGGAATGTAGAAGCTTGGCTACACACACCGGATCTCGTTTGTTCAAGGTATGATGGTATCAATTTGCAACTACTTGCCCGAAGTGAAAACCTATAAAAAGTAATTCATTTTAGACGAAGCAAGAGATAATAGTATTTATTCGCCATAGTTATACCATGCTCAGGTTTACGACGCATCAAGTTATATAAACATAAGATATAAAACTATAAACTATTATACATATACAATACAGGGTGGGCCATTAGTGTGTGGGTGGAATATTGTGGGTTTATTAACGCCCATTGTGGGTGGATGTTGGAGGACCCTTCAGGCTACAACCTAAAAATATTTTCAACGTAATTGCAATTGTTATACAGGGTGATTTCTATCAAAGTTTCCTTTTTTTTTAAATGGAACCCTCTGTATATTATTACACATTTGGATTCCTTGGTCAATTTTAGTGTGACTTTATGTATTACACATGATATCTAAAATAAGTCGTTTAGCCGCAATTCGTCGCTTTTTCAAAAAGTAGATTGAAATTTTAATTTTTTTAATGAAACTACCAAGTTTTTTTTATCGCATCAAATGTAGGATTTTATTACCATTTTAACAATATAAGCATGTCGATATTTATCTTTTACATATTTTTTGTGATTCAACAATTTCTAATAATTCACAGTGTTTTTCAATTTTCAAAGCCTCTCAGTAATTAATAGGCCCTTAAAAATTATAAACAATTGAATTTATAAAAAATGTACTCCAAATAAAATAAAACAAAAAATCAAAATAAAAAGTTTAAATAAAAATAAGAGAAAAATAATTATTTCAATAAATGTTCAAGACCGCACCTCCCAGGAAATTGTTAGTTCAGCCATTCTTTAACGTTTATAGCAAAATGAGGTAGGACACCATCATGCTGCATGCATTTCTTCTACAATGTGCACCAGAACATTTTGAAGAAGGTTACTTAAAATTTTAAAGTAAAGAACACCGTTTAAAATATGTTATTCAAATTCCATTTTTCTAACACAACAATCAACAACAGAATGGTAAATGCTAATAAACTAAACTGACACATGTTATTGCATTTTATTTCGTGTTCATATTTTCTAATATGGCTTTTATGGCTTACTATTCAAATTGATTTATTTATAAGTTCACGCATTGGTTTAAATGCAAATTCATTATTTTATCTTTTAAAATTGGCTACGACAAACAAGAGTTATTAACTTTTAACGGCCTACTGATTACTGAGAGGCTTTAAAAAACGCAAAAACACTGAATTATTAGAAATTGTTCAATTACAAAAAATAGGTAAGAGATACATACCGACATGCTGACATCGTTAGAAAGGTAATAGAATTTTACATTTCCTGCAATAAAAAAAACTCGTATTTCCATTAAAAAAAATCAAGTTACCTCTGATTGAGATTTTGAAAATTGACGGAGTGATTTCTTTTAACACAAAAAGTTTAACTTTAGCCGTTCGGCGTATGTTAGTACATTTCATGTTTAGTGCCACTGCAAAATCACGGCCTTCTAAGTTTTATGATAACTGCGATATTCAATTTTTACTGGACATTTATTTTTTGAAAAAATGACGAAGTGCGGCTAAACTACTCATTTTAGATATCATGTGTAATACATAAAGTGACACTAAAATTGACCAAGGAATCGAAATATACAGGGGGTTTCATTTAAAAAATTGCAACTTTGATATAAATCACCATGTATAACAATTGCAATTTCGGTGAAAATAATTTTAGGTTGTAGCCTTAAGGGTCCTTCAACATTCCCCCACAATGAATTTTAAATATGAGCGTTAATAAACCCACAATCGTCCACCCAAAGATTCTTCTAATAAAGACAAGCATATCGCATATTGTAAAAATCGGATGTGCGCATCCGAAAACTACGCAAAGTCAACTTTCTTATTTATGGAGATAGAACGCTAGCGACTCACTGACGCAGAGCCAGTCATCCTTTCAGAACATACGTAATTTGCAAATAAATAGACGAGATAAGCGACGAAGGATGGAATTCTTGGAATTGCAACAGATTAAGGGTATTTCAAGAACAGGGTAGGACTAGCCGCCTCCTTTCCCATTGGTCGGGAAGTGGGGAAGTGACAATTAGTTAACGAAAAAAAAGGAAATTCCTCTGTAAACCAATAAATCAGAGTTTATGTTAGTGGGTGTTTTAAGAAAATAGTGGAGCGGTAAACCAATAACGCCTTTTGTCAGTATCTTGTTAATGTTCGCGATGGTACATTTTTGTTTTTTTTTAATTTGTTTCCCTTAAGTAGATTATCAAGATCTTTTATTTGCCTGTTCTTTTTCCCATGTTTGGCTTCTTCAACCGGATCTAAAATCACCCAACATCTGGATTGTATAATTATATACATCCTTCTAATGTTTGCTTATTAGCTTGTCTTTATATTGAAGATCATGTTCTATTTACAATAGTGTTATTGAGACTATGCCATCGGTCACAAATTTACGGCGATTTTCCACAATGAACCTTTTTGATAGTGAAAGATCGCCTTTTTGAGAGAGGAACATATGAAATAGCACACTCTCGGATTGGAGTTCAAATGAGGAGGGCGGTTGTTTTATAGAAACGGTATATGTCGGAACTACACAAATTGAGACAGGACCAGTCTAGCTGCTGACTTCTGTCGTACATAAAGATGGATCAAAGCGAAAGCACACAGATAAAGTTATTGGATTAGTGCCTAATTAAATGTTCAAGTTCAAAATTATCTAATTACGAATCGAATCAAATTTGCAAAGCTGGCCGCAACACCCTGTATCCTCGATTAATTTAATCTCAATAAATGACTATTGATGAACTCACCTAAATTAATTATGAAACAATTCAGCGCATTTTAATTATACGCGGAATTTAGTTGCATGCTGGCCGACACCACAGTTTAGTTAATCTTATTGTACGTATTAGTATTTTGTATGGCAAATTGTAATAAATTGCACCAAATACTTACTCTTTGCAAAGATCATACTACACTAGATAGCCAGCGTATATGCAAGAGTTGTTTCGCGTTTAAGTAGTTCCATAAAAATATTTATAGGGGGCTTTCAAAGTTAAGAACGTAACTGATTCATCCGAAGCCGTCTTCGTACGAGTTCGAATCATATCATAAATACAAAGAGTGATTATTGTCTAAACACGAGACACATAAACATGACCTACTGAACACTCCTCACTATCATTGGGATAAAATTACATTTGTAAGCGGGCGTCATTCAAGACGAGGTAGATTCTATTACAGTCAGGACGTTACAATGAAAGAAATAATTTGAAAGTTGTACACAATATTTTTATTATCCTTTGCTTTTTTTTAACCAGCGCTAACCAATACATTTTCCAGATTTTCGGATTAAATTAATAATTGCAAAAGCGTCTTTTTTCTTAGCATAATTTCTGAAAACTTTTAGTTTCACGTATCTACGATACTTTAGCAAATCTTCAAATATAATATCACAGATTTAAATATACTATAAATCTGTGATAATATGCACCTACTTATCCAGGCATATTTACATTGTAACCACACATTTATCTAATTTAGATTTGTTGTAATTAAGCATTTTATGATTGGGATAAACGAGACATCCCGCTTAGCCTCCTACATAATAAAATTGTGTCCAGCTAAAGTGAGTCGGAACTAGAAGCGTCTGTGGTTAAAATTTCAAAGAAATACCCATAAATATGAAAGTTGGCATTGCGCAGTCTGCGCAAAATATGGAAAATACGAAACTGATCGAAATGGGCAAATATAGACCATAACGGCTATCAATTAGCGAAAACCCGAAGTCTCTAGGTGGCCCAGGGGCCGAGATCTCGATGGAACGGATGGACGGACGGACGGACAGATGGAAACACGAGCACATACGCTTTACCACAACTTCGTTGTGTTACGATAAAAAATTTAATTTAAATCAAGATGTGAATATTTGGTATTTTAATTTACAGTAAGGTAACCAGATAAAAACATCTATAACACCCACACAAGGTTGCGCTTAGGAATGACACCGATATCCCATACAATAGCCTTTATTCTAAAAATAACTGTGCTTTGCCATTTCGCGCGTCTTCTTACCCCGCCAGGTAGTTTGTACTATTCTCATAAAAACATAGCCGCTGGAGGACGCAGTCGACTTATTTGGCGGGACGAATTATGAGAGTCTAAAATTTATACAGCGCTGTCTATCTAGTGTAGTATGATCTTTGCTCTTTGTTACCATAGTTAAGTAAATATTGACAAAGAGAGCCAACCACGAAGAACAGAGTTCATTGAACATATACGTAGGGCCTAATAATACTAAATTAATTGAAATCCCAAAGCGGGTTGTTATATGATATTCTGCGGAAAATCGCACCAACAAAGAAAATACAAATAACCCCCAATACACCCCAAGTATTTTCTGCGTAAATTTAAAAATTTGTTACTGAAAAGATAATTAACGCCTCGTGCGATGATGGAGTTACATATTTGAAACCTCAGGGTTGCATATTTATATACGGTGTACACTTGTATAGCATTACGATCTCCGAGATATTCAAGCGACAAAACCATTATCAACACGAATACTTCTGTAAATTTTTACGCGTAAATTTCTGACGTTACAGGTATTTTCTTA